AATTTTAATGAAGTAACATCCATTAATACTTTAAAAATATTTAATATTTGATAAAATATTAAAAATATAATTTGTGACAAACTATTAATAGTATAACAAGTTAAACTGTAAATAATTATTATAAATTATTATCAACACCAATTAAACCATTTAAACAAAAATTGGAAGAATATTCAATTCATTGGAAAATATCCATATATTAATAAAGAAAAACAATGTGTAAAACTGCTACATGATAATATTAGATCACAAATGTTTCTGATATAAAAGACATTATAATGAATTTGATATCTGTAGAATTTAATATTTTACACATTCGAACATTGCTTTTTCAAACTATCATTTCTTTTGAATAATATAATATAGTTCTACTTTCAACTAGTTAATAAAATAAAAGAGTTAATAAAAGAGTTAATAAAAAAAAAGATTAGACTTAGAATTTCATGATATCAAAAAATACTGCATTATTTTAAAATAGAATTATAAAAAATAATTATTTTGAATAAAAAATCTTTTTTTTAAATAAATTTTGAATTTTTTTGAAAAATTTATATACATGTAATAAAATAATATAATATAATATATAATATATATAAATATATAATATTAAGACAAAACTTTTATTAAAATTTTGAAGACATATTAAATTTTAAATCTAATATTAATATATAATAAATATATATCAAATATTTTTAATAAATATTTCAAGTATTCTATCATATTCAAAATGATTCAAGTTTTTATAATATTAAAATTATAATATATTATAAATTATATATAATAAAATTACTTTAAAATTAATACTTTAAAATTAATAAATTTAAATACTTATACATATATGATTAAATAATGTAAATTTTTATGCACTTACCACAAAAATTATTTAAAAATAATCATAGACAAAAGTTTTAGAATAATAAAGTTTATTTATAGAAGACAAATTATTTACTGTACTATATAGAAGACATAAATATATTATTTTTATAATATTTTAATTCTTCTATACTTTCTTTAATATCAGGTAGAGCTCTGTGATGCAAAAGTTTTTTTGGTATACATTCACTTTTATTTGAACTCCATCTTCTAGAATAAAATTTTAAAAGTAATACATATATTTCATATATTGAAATATATACAAATATATAAACAATATAAATGCAAATACCTGATTAATTCTTTAACTGTACTAACATCAATAATTCTATAGTGTAAATAATCATTGACTAATGGCATATATTTAAGTAAAAATAACGATCCATATAAATTGTATTACCAGCTAGAGGACAAGTTTGACTAGGAATATATTTTTTCAAGAAATTAAGTAACATTTGTTCTGCATCTTTTAAAGTAATTTTACTACATTTAGATTCTTGTACCAAACCTGACTGAAAAAATATTGTTCTTAAAATAAAATATAAATTTAAATTAATTATTAAAATAAAAAAAATATTTTTATTAAACTTACTTTCGTATGAAAATTCATACACCATTCATTCATATGTTCTAAAACTACATCTGGTTGATTAATTACAATATTAAATTCTTCACTCACTATATTTAAATCTTCATCAGTTATTAAACAAGCAATTTCTAAAATTGTATCTGTTTCTATTTGAAGTCCAGTTAACTGAAATAAATAATTTAATTATATATAATAAATATAAAATTAAATATATATATAAATTAATATTACAATATAATAATTACAATATATAATATATAATAATTAATATAAATATATATATATATAAAATTATAAGTATAGAAATATAACTATATTAAAAAAATATGATTTACATCATAAATATCAATATCATTAATTCAATGAAAGCATTAGATGCTTACTTCTGTATCTATCCATACAATACAATTATGTTTATTATAGACCATATTTATTATCTATACTTGATATTTTATAAAATAAAATATTCGTGAAAAAAAATATTAAGATATTCTTGATATTCTTTTATTTCACAAATTACTTGACAAAATTGAAAAATAAGATTTATTTAAACTTATTTCAAAAAAAGAATGTGGTTAAATCTCATTTCAGAACATGCTAAATTGTAATTAATTTTTTTATGATTATTTTAATAAAAATATAAAGTTAAATATGTTTTGTCATATTTATGAATCAACAACATTCACAATTGATGCAGAAATAAATGACTATATTATTATTATTATTATATTTATTATTATATTCATTTTACATATACATATATAGATATATTTAATTATACATTCATAATGAGAATTCCGCAGAATAAGAAAATAAAATAAAAAACAAGTGACCGAAATTATAATCACCAAATCTTAAAAAAGATTTTTAAATTCATAAATGAATAATAGAAATGAAAATAGATTTTTACTCATAATGATGTATATAATGAAAAAAAATATTCATATACTCTTTAAAACGGAATAATTTTTTTTAAATTGGACAAAACTATTTAAATATTTTTGCTATATTAAAAGAAAAACATATTAAAAAAATGTTGCTATGAACTGCAAACAATAAAAAATAAATTTGCAGTTTTTTACGATTTTCAACCTAAATTAATAATCAGTTTTTATATCTTTTAATATTTGTAGCTTTTTTATGCAATTGATTTCAATAAAACTTTGTGCATATATAGGCTGTCCCAAAAATATTGAAACATTCATAAACTGGAGATTTCTTAGGTAATTTCAAATAATATTTTTTTTTATAAAAACTTTCGTTATAGCTTTGTTAACGAGTTATTAACAAAAAAACATTTATCAATCACCTTGTTCATAACTTATTTAGATCTACAAAAGATATATTTTAAATTTTTATTATAGATTCAGACAAAAATATCTTTAGAATCATAATTTTTAATTTTATCATCAATGATTATAATCAATAGTAATTTTAAAAAATTTTTTTATACATTATCTATTAAATTTCTAATATTCCAAAAAAATTCAAGTCTCTTAAACTAGTACAATTTTAAAAAAAATTTATATTTTTTTTCCTCAATATATATAATTTTTAAAAGTTTTTTATGAATAATTCAAAAATTATTTATAAAAAAAAATTGTTTAAAATGATATCTTATACACATTTCAAGCACATTAAAAATGAGAAAAGAGCTAATCAATATTAATAATAATGCAAGTTGATATTAATAATAATAATTTATTAATTAAATTATCCATGCATGTATTTATATAGAATCCATTATGTATTTATATAGAATGAATATAGTAATGATAGTCATTTCTTTCGATAAATATGTCAAACATACTTAACCTTACTTTTTTATTGAAAATTTAAAAAAACGAATTTTCGCAAATAATTACATACAAATTAATAATATTATTATATAGTCAACAAGTCAAATAATTTATTGCTATTATACTAAATTAATTCTATTAAAAAAAAACAAAAATAATCTTCAAATCTCGAAAGCGTGTTCACATATAAAAGATTTGTAACTATGTGATCGTTATAAGATGTTCTCCTTTATAAATTATAAATTCTATTTAAATATTTTTTAAAATGACTTATAATTAAAGAAATAATTGCGGATCCGAAGATTAAAACAAAATATTCTCTATATATAAATAATTACATATTAAATTTTTTAAATTTAAATTATTTCATGCAAAATTTTTTTAGTAACACACTTAATCCTTAAACTATGCTAACATGAAAAATAAAAAATTTTATATATATATAAAAAATTGCAAAAATAAATATATGCAAATTTAGGATTTGCAGAATATTTTTGAATGCAAAACAAAATTCTTCGTTGCATACATATTTTAGAACAAATTGTTTATTGAAAAACTAAAAAGAAACTTTAAAAAACCAATAATAAATTTGATTCTTATTAACATGCCGTATAAATCGCATATATTTTATTCTGAATTTTTCGTTCAAGTCATTTGAAATTTTAACTATGAAATAAAAGCATATTACTATTATATCATAAAATAACAATTTTTATTTTAATAACTACGATTTTTGTATTATACAATTCATTTTCATTTCATATAATTTAAATGAAAAATTATAGAAAATCGATCAAATACAAAATATATTAAATATCTTTCTTTATTTTTTCAGAACAATATTAATTTAAAATATAGATAATTATTGAATTGAATGAATAAAACTTTTTATGTTTCAAAAAATAAATTTTACAAAAATTAAAAATTCTCTATTGAAATTCTTAAAATTCTAGAAAATAAATTAAAAAAAAATTGATTTTATAAATATCAATATTTTATTATTGATATCACTTAATATTGATAATTATTAATCGAGGTGATTTAATATATCAATATTTTCCTATTTTTTTGTTATCGCTATATCTCATGCCTATTATGTTAAAAAATGAAAATATTATATATATATATATTATATTAATAATAATATAATAATAAATTATTATATATATATTATAAATAATAATATATTAATAATAAATTATATAATATATTAAAAAAAAAACAAGAAAAAAATTTTATAAATTTTGTTTTGATTCAATTTGTAAAAACGTGATATATGATTTTATAAATATATATAATATTATATGTGAATACAAAATTCGTTATAAAAAAAAATTCGTCCATATTATATACAATTGAATTGTTTGAGAATTATTTAAATTTAATATGTAAATATTTATTTATTTTAGATAAGTTAATTGTTCAAGAAATATATTGAAATATCATATATATTTTATATATTTTATATATTTTATGCATATTTTCAATCTCAAATTTAAAATTATATTATGACTAATATATATTCAAATTATATATTATATATTATGATTTGTCTTTATGAATTAAAATTAAATTCATATTTAAAATATAAATTTTTATATATAGGAGCCAATATAAATAATAAAAATTATAAAATTTTAATGAAATATACAAGATATATATAAACATATGAATATAATAGTTTAATATAATGGTATAATATAGTGTATATAGGAGTTGTTCTTTCGAAAGAAAAATTGTTGGCCCTGAAAAGGGCCGTTTTTTTTTTTACTGTCAGAACAACTTAAGCTCTTTCTCCACGAATTCTACGTGCTAGCTGTATATCTTTTGGCATAATAGTAACTCTTTTAGCATGAATGGCACAAAGATTTGTATCCTCAAATAAACCAACTAAATAAGCTTCACTAGCTTCTTGAAGTGCCATAACTGCTGAACTTTGAAAACGTAGATCAGTTTTAAAATCTTGCGCAATTTCGCGAACGAGTCTTTGAAAAGGTAATTTACGAATCAGAAGTTCGGTACTTTTTTGATATCTTCGAATTTCACGAAGAGCAACAGTTCCAGGACGATAACGATGTGGTTTCTTTACTCCTCCTGTTGCAGGTGCACTTTTACGCGCAGCTTTTGTTGCTAATTGCTTTCGAGGTGCTTTACCACCAGTTGACTTACGAGCAGTTTGTTTCGTACGAGCCATTATATTTTAAAATCAAACTCACAGTGCAGGTCAACTCAAAAATACTACTTAACTACCGAGAATGCAGTTTATATAGCGTGCAAGGCAAGAGCTTCAAGCATTTGGTTGGTTGGTTGTTCAGACGGGAGAAGTCTTATGATTGGTGATTAAAGAAAAGAGGGGATACATTAACGGAATTGGATTGGATTATTGAATAAATAGTGGGGATGTGCGTTTACTATATATAGAAGAATTATTCGAATCGAGATTTGTGACTTCTCTTGTTGCGTACGTTGAATTTTGTTTATAATGACTGGACGTGGAAAAGGTGGAAAAGGATTGGGAAAAGGAGGTGCAAAAAGACATCGAAAAGTACTCCGAGATAATATTCAAGGAATTACCAAACCTGCTATTCGACGATTAGCGAGAAGAGGTGGTGTTAAGAGAATTAGTGGTTTAATTTACGAAGAAACACGTGGAGTCTTAAAGGTATTTCTCGAAAATGTTATTCGAGATGCAGTTACATATACTGAACATGCTAAAAGGAAAACTGTAACAGCAATGGATGTAGTTTATGCATTAAAACGCCAAGGCAGAACATTATATGGTTTCGGCGGATAAATTATTAAGATTGAACATAAATTTTTTTTTAAAAATTACAACCGGCCCTTTTTAGGGCCATCATATTTTTTGAACGTATGATAACTCTTCACTTATACAATGAAATTATGTTATAATTATTCTAAAAATAAAAATTCTAAAACACAATATGAATAAATTAAATATAGTATGTCTTATATATATTATTGTATATCTTAATAAAATTTTGTATGTTTTAACGAAATTTGAATTAAATTATTTTATTATATATATTCTATTAAAATGACTTATGATAGTATAATGATAGTAAAATATTTATCCATTTTTAAGTAAAATTTTAAATAAATGAAATACATATTATTATTATTTCGTTATTTATTAAAATTTAAACTTAGGATATTATTAACAATATTATTAATTGATTACAGTGCAAACAATATTATAACATATCATAAAATTGAAATAAAAAAAACCATGAAAATAAATAAAATTCGATCAAAATTATATGAAGAATAGAGAATCAATTATTACTTCATTTTGTACATATATATACATTAAAATAAAAATTTATGTATATGAATTTCCTTTTTAATAACTACTTTTTTATAAGTAATTAAAATAAATTTACAAATAAAAATATTATCAGTCTTACGATCTGATTATATTTTTTTAATGAAAATATTAAATAGATAAATATTATTACGTACATATCTATATCAATTTTAATTTAAAATATATTAGATATATTAATAATGAAAGAAGTGAACACGAGTAAGAGTTCCAATGAAAAAAAAAAAATTAGTGGCCCTGAAAAGGCCGGTTTTTTTAAAGCCTGGAAAATAGACAATGTATTCTCATTTATTTATACTTGTATATTTAGTAACTGCCTTTGTACCTTCACTAACCGCATGTTTAGCGAGTTCTCCGGGCAATAAAAGTCTCACAGCAGTTTGCACCTCTCTCGATGTAATAGTAGATCGTTTATTATAATGTGATAAACGAGATGCCTCAGCAGCGATTCTTTCGAATATATCATTCACAAAACTATTCATAATACTCATAGCTTTGCTCGAAATACCTGTATCCGGATGAACTTGCTTTAGTACTTTATAAATATAACTCCATAACTTTCCTTTCTTTTTTTCTTTCTTTTTCCTTCTACTTTATTTATAGTAACATTTTTGGGGGCTTTAACGGCCTTTTTAATTGCTTTTCCAACAGCTTTAGGAGGCATATTTGCTTAATATGTATATATGACAAAATATGAACACACAAAATATCTATACTCGTCTCACAGAGTTCTTTCAATCCAGATTTGCTTTTATAGCAAATGAAATAACAGCATCGCTTCAATCATATGAAAGTACGTGACCGAAAATATTGACGTTCAATTCTCATTGGACGAAAATCTGACGTTGGCTTATATCAATATTTTTGACGTTTGTAATAGGTCGAATGTCTAAACAATAAACGACATACAATTATCTGTATATATATATATATATATATATAGAACTATAAGAATAATTTTAAAACTTTCTCATATAATTCTCTTATAAAATATTAAATCTTAAATAATATTAAAATTTTTTTTTATGATGCAGAGAAAAATTTTCTTCTCTACTAATTATTTGGCACAAAAATGATTTTGTTTTGATCAAAAAAAAATAATAAAGTTTAAAAATATAATAGATCGAGTACTTATCTATCCCTAAATGTTCCGAAGGATCAATTTGTACCTCGTTTCAATGTTTTTTTAATTATTTAAAAAACTTTTAAAATTTAATACTTTTCCAATGAAAATATCATTGATATTTTCTTTAAATATAATCAGATTAGATATAGAAGAAAAGAATAGATATATACAAAAATTGAATAAATTTATGTATAAATTTTACACAGTTCGTTATGATTTTTATAAATATGAGATTTTCTTCTTTCTCATTTTAGATATTTTAGCTCTCAATTGCAACGTTTTCTGTTTCGACATGACGCACGTTTGAAATTAATGGAACTTGCTAAACAATTATACAAATCATAAATATATTTATCATATTTAAAAGAAACGCTTACCTTCATCTTGAATATATTTAATGCAAAAAAAAAAAAACAAAACGCGGAAAAAATCAATATATAGTATCAAGTTAATTTTTATTTACCTATATTGATAGACAAAATCTCACAGTTTGATGGAAGCATAATTTTATTGAAATCAGTTTTAACATCATTTGATAGATTGTAGAATTTTATTAATTTCTTGTGGTTTTTAATATCCGTGACAGTATAATATATAATTTTTATTAAAAATTTGAAATAGCAATGTTAATGAATCAAACTATATTACATTCTGAGTACAGAACAACTATGAACAATATTGCATTGTTATATGTACTATCTAATATTCAATTCAGATATAAGATTCACATTATCGAACAAATAAATATGTATAATGATTAAATATATTAATGTATTCCTTAAATTACTATATTCCTTTTTTACTGTATTCTTATATATTTAGGGAACATTTGATTTATTCAATTCGCAAATAAGATATATTAACAAAACATCTGATAAAATGAATCAACGCAGAGAAAGATTCAATCTCACTGAAACTGAAATAAAAAGACTAAAATATACTATTTTATCGATTATTTCAAATTACAAATATTCTAGGTACTGGATTATAACGGAAACATGTATTTTAATTGTTTCAAAACATTTGTCAGATGAATAAGCATCTTTTTTTTGGTAAAAACATAAAAATTTTATAATTATATTAAATATTTAAGATGATAATAATCTTTTGATTGAATAAAAAATAAAATTCCTCTTCAAATCGGAATCAATAAGTTATGAAAATAAACATATTCACTATTGGATTCATTAATTGGATAAAAGAAGTTACATTTGTTCCTGAAAAATTAATACATCATCTTGTATGAATTATAAATTTTAATAAAATATATTTATACTATTACTGGAGATCAGCTAATAATGATATTATATATTTCATATTAATATTATAATTAAATTAAATTATAAAATTAAATTTAATAATTATACAATAATCCTTCAATTTTTAAATTATTGTTTTGATCATAAAATAAAAAACGATCATTATTTTATTTTTGTGAAAAAAAAATAAAAGTTTTTAAAATATAATTAAATTCTATTCTCATATTTCTATTATATATATTTTTTATTATATAAAATTTTATATAATAAAATATATATTATATATAAATTTAATTCAATAAATATGAATTTAATTCAATGAATAAAATTAATTCATGAAATTTTTTTTTAAATACATAAGATAATACATATATTATACTCTAAAAACATATTTATACCTATCTAACGATTCAAGATATAAAATTCCTTGATTTTCTGATTTCTTTAATAATCCAACAAATTCTTCTCTCTTCTCTCTTATTATCCTTTTTTTATTAGGTTGAATAATTAAAGAATTATTATATTATAATTGAATAGAACTTATTTTTCTATTTCTTTCATCATATGTTTTATTAACTTAATAATTTTTTAATTCTATTTATTAAATTTTTTACCTCTATATAAAAATAATTCCAAATCTTTATTTTTTTATTTTTATATTTTTATAGGCCGACTCAAAACGAACTGTGTTCTGACTTCGTTTTAAGTCATAATCCATTATAAAATATTCATTTCACATATACATGTATCATTATGCATATACAATTATATATGTCATACAAAATTTTGAAGTTATTACAAAAGATCTAAAACATCTAAAAAATATTCTGCACATTTTACAAAAAAATATGTATTGCATTCATATAAATTTTTTTGAGATTTTTTTAATACAAAAAAATTTCTATATTTTATTTAATATTGAATCGTAATTTTAATATTAGAAACAAAGCTAGTTAGTTCAAGTAGAAAAAAGAAGGTTCTAAAACGAATGCTTTGTTCGTGGATCTTTTGTTCTCAGAAAACATTCAACTGACACACCTGGTAAGTTAAAAGAAGGGGAAACCCTTCGTTGACCTGACTAGCCGCCATATGGTTAACTGAAAAAGGGACAGTTCTACCAGCATGGCAACGTATCTTGCCAACGGATATTCTGAAATATATATAATATATATTCTGAATTTTTTATATACATATACAAATACATATATATATATCATGCTACAAGGAATGCAACCACTTTTGAATTTTTAAAACAAATTATAAATTTTTAATATTGTTCTCTTATCTTTTTTATTGTGAATAAGAGTAAAGAATAAATTGTTTTAAATAAATAGTAAATATTACAGAAATTCAATATTGAATATATGAATGAAATTTAATATGTTATTTTTTTTACAAATAAATATATGATATTATGAATAATTAACTTACTTCTTATATAAAAAAAAATATGTACAATTAAATTACAATGTACAATTAAATATGTACATTATATATAATATATATATATCGATAAAAATATAATAGATTCATTAGAATAAAATGTTAAAAGTATTTATGTATTTCATTGAAGATTAACACAGTCTTTAAAAAATTGAAAAATAAAAAATTATTATTTCACGTTATGTAAAATATTGATTTTGAACGTTTTTTCTTATAAGTTTCAAATTTTGATCAAAATTTCAAATATTAACTTATCTATTTCTATTTCTATAATTTCACTTAAAACATGATTTTTGCATTTAAAACGTATGTAAGTTTATTAAAGAACAAAAAAAAATTAATCTTAACTTTTATTAGAAAATTGGATATTAGAAATCTTTATTTTCATATTTTGTATATATTTAAAAAAAATATATGTTTGTATGTATAATAAATAAATTTTTATTCAATCTTTTAAATTTTAATATATAAATATCCATGTATTTCTATTACATTAAATAGTGATATATATTTATGAAATAATCAATACATATCAATTTGAAAACTTTCAAAAATAAAAAAATGTTATCCAAACTCATCGAATTAATGTTTAAATATATAAAATAAATACATGAATTCAATTAAAACATGAATTTGTGAATATATGAATATGTGATTCATAAATTATATATATTATATATGAATTACATATTAATTACATGTATGCTTATTTAACCAATAATTCTTGTAAGATTCAGACTTCGATCTATAAATATTTTAGACTTTTTCAACTGCAACATAATTAATTTCAATCTCTTCCAAATACACATATATTAAGAATATATATTAAAAAATATAAATTCAATACATATTCAAAACCACGAATTTTATTGGATATTCTTTCGATATATGTTTTTTTCGACAATTATACAAAAAATGCTTGAATGTTTGTTATATCTCAATAAATAAAATTATTATATCTTTAGTTTAAGACGTAGAGCTAAGAAAAATATAATTTTTAATATTCTCAAATAATTTTTTCTTCTTGAAATTCTTGATAATTCTGAATATTTATTCAAAATATTTGAAAATTTTTTTAACAGATAATTTCACTAATGTTCTAAATTATAATATCTTGTTATTATATTATCGCTGCATTTTACTTGATGTAGTTTTTACATTGAAAACTCTGTTTGTTGTCATGTTTCTTATTTGTTTAATCTATAAAGAAAAAATTTATACAAGTTCACTATTTATATTATAAGCAATAATTTTTTATATAAATATATTTTTAAATTTTTATTTTATATTATATTGCAAACTGATTTGCTACATTGTTCAAAAAAAACATTGTTAAATGATAACATTATTATATAATCTGTCTGTCACTTTTTACTGCATAAAAAGCAAGATGATTATGTATATCTAAGTAAGAATATATGTAAAACAATGTGAATTCGTAATTGGTAGCACTTTTTTTAGATAAGAAAAATTTCTTTTCAATAAATAAGAGAATTACCTTGTATATTTTGAATAATTTCTTGAATAAGTCTTTCAAATGATTTTTTAGGTATTAATAATTTCGTCTTCTTTTGATAATGATATATTTCTCGAATGGCATTATTTTTCGAGCGAAATTTACTCTTTATATTTCTATTATTACACTGATTTATGCGTGTCATTTTACGTTGTAAAAATGAATAAACTTCTCATTTGTTATGCTTTGAATCTGCAGATGGAAGCACTCATATATATATCCTCGGTTCAATACGTTGTGTCTTTTGATTGGCTAACGTTGAAGCGGTGGGGATATAGCCTTTCGAACGTATAAAAGGCCTGAAAACTAAATTTGTACATCAAACGAATTCAGAACTTCGTAGTTTGTTCTTATTCTGTATTTGTGAGATTTCAAGATGACTGGTCGTGGAAAGGGAGGAAAAGGATTGGGAAAAGGAGGAGCAAAGCGTCATAGAAAGGTACTTCGTGATAACATCCAAGGTATCACAAAACCAGCTATTCGTCGATTGGCTCGTCGTGGCGGTGTTAAACGTATATCTGGTTTAATTTATGAAGAAACTCGTGGTGTTTTGAAAGTTTTCTTAGAAAATGTTATCCGCGATGCAGTTACTTACACCGAACACGCCAAACGAAAAACTGTAACGGCTATGGATGTCGTATATGCTCTGAAAAGACAAGGACGTACTCTTTATGGTTTTGGAGGTTAAAATGGAGGATCATTGTTTTCATCAACGATCAGCAAAAACGGCCCTTCTCAGGGCCACAATTTTCTTTTAACTTGAGAACACTCGTTTGTTCAATTTAAAATATTTTCTATATTATAACAAATATTCCAAATATGTTAAATAAAGTTGTATTTTGTGTTATATTCTTTTTGTAAGATATAACAGTGGAACATAAACAACAATCAAGTACTAATATAATATCTATGATAAATATATAATTATTAAAATTATCCATATTTTGAAATAGTAAAGAAAATTAACATTGTTTTCATTATTATGAATTTTTTCATTATAAATAATAAATTATAAATATACAATACAATATTATAAATATTATAAACTTTTTTATAGTAAAAATAAATATTAACTTTGTTTTAATATATATAAATGTTTTTGCTATAAAAAAAATGTAAAAGAATTTTTTTTATTTAATAGTTAATTAAATTTAAGAAACTGTTGATTTTTATACAATATAATGAAATATAATTTAATAAAATATAATTTTAATCAGAATTATGTAATGTACTTGCATATCTATATTTAATTTCAATCCTTTCTTTTTATGTATATTCTAAATATACATATAGAAATATAATTAATAAAATATAATATAATTAACGTATATAATATATATATATATATATATATATATAATTAATTTTTTTTTTATAATAAAAACATTTTGAGAATTACTTTATAAAATAACAAGTATTTTAATCACATATTGCATACTTACTGCAAACGTGATAATTCAAAATATATAATTTAGAGGAAACGATTTTGAATATTTCGAATTACTATAAAAACACTACAAGAATTACATTAAAATGCTTGAAGTTCACAATTTGGAAATTTAAGATTGTTTAATAAGAGAAGGCATCAAATGATACTTTCTATATCAGTAATTCAATAAGTAGAATTTTGAATTGTTGAATTTTTTCAACAAATGAGATCGTAATATAGACATATAAATTTCATTTGTATTATTCATCAAAAATAATTAAAAATATATATAAAATATATATTAAAATGCTTATGAACTATAAGATCATTGTTCCTTTAGCTGAATTTAATTGGGGGCCCTGAAAAGGGCCGTTTAAGTTTAAAAAATCAGGTTAAGCTTTCTTTTCTGTCTTCTTTGGTAAAAGTACAGCTTGAATATTTGGGAGTACACCACCTTGTGCTATTGTTACTCCAGAAAGTAATTTGTTCAATTCTTCGTCATTACGAATAGCTAATTGTAAATGACGTGGTATAATTCTTGTTTTCTTATTGTCGCGAGCAGCATTACCAGCCAGTTCCAAAACTTCAGCAGCTAAATACTCCATTACAGCTGCCAGGTAAACCGGAGCACCGGCACCAACTCGTTCAGCATAATTCCTTTTCGCAAAAGACGGTGAATACGACCAACAGGAAATTGTAATCCTGCTCTGTTAGAACGAGACTTAACTTTTCCCTTAACTTTACCGCCTTTTCCACGTCCAGACATATTGTTCAATCACAAAGTTTCGCTTGGTATTAATTTTTGGAATGCCCTTACTCCGAATATATGTATTCGCAGATGGCAGCAGGAGAGCACTAATCAGAATACAGTATAGCGTGTTCTGTATTACACAGCGCTCCAATTGGTGCATATACTTTATATAAATGGAAGAGTTAAGTTCTAACGGAATTAACCTATACGTTTACAATAATATATATGAAAAAAAAAAATAAAATATTTACGAATCATATTAAATGTTAAACTTATTCATGGATAATAAATTAATTATATTATCTGTTAGATCATTAATTATATTATTCATAAACGTAAATTAAACATAAAAACAAAATGGAAATTATATAAAATAAATATTAAGCTCATAATATGTGTGTGTATATATATATATAATTTACTACTATATTCTTCACTTGTAAGTTATATAGAAAAGTATAACTATTGTAACTTTCCAATGAAACCAAATTATCAAAATTAAACATAACATATAATAATCAAAATTATTCAAAATACTTATAATTAAATTTTTGAAATTTTTTAAATAAAAAAAAATTTTATACAACATAACATAAAACAATTTTTTTTTAGGGTTATAAAATTCATTGTAAAATTAAAAATTGATAAAATCGAAGCATCCGCAGTTATCCGAAGCAATTGAATAAATCAAATTAAATATTTATTAAAATCATAAGACTAGAATACAATACAATAAATTAAATTAGAAATATATATATAACTTATTAGAAATATAGAATAGTTAGTAATCTATATTTTGTAGTTTATGTTTTTTTATGTTCGTTTATGCTAGACGAAAGCAAATTTTAAATGTTTTCGAATATAGAAAAAATAATAAAAAATACTTTTTTATTTTTACATGCATAATTATAATTAGTCAATAACCATATATTTGCTTTAATTTTAAAAATATTAATATTAAGATAAAGTTGCAAGAATAAAATCTCTATTAAAATTTTTGCGTTTCAAACAAAATTTAAAAAATGTTAATACTACTATATTATTATATTATATAAGAATTTAAAATATATAAGACTAACATCTTTTTTTTTCTAACATTAGGCTCTATAAAATACGATGTAAAATTGAAAGATGAGTTTTTTTTGATTGACAATTTAATTTAAAACAAAGTAAAAACAATATTTTTATTGATGATTTATTTATGATTTCTAAATAGCAATTTATAATACTTTATTTGAGTAATATTTTAGTTACAAAAAAGAAAATAATTTATTTTCTATAATTTTATTTTATACAATTTTGATGTGATTTGAATATCAAAATTTTAATTATCACATTATTATTAAAATTTTATACCATATTATTTTTATACCGTATTATAATACCATATTATCGTATTACCATATACAAATTTAAAATATATAGAATCCATCTATTTTTTCCTAATATTCCTTATAAAATAATATAAAATTATAAAATGATATAAAAGATTAGTTTTATAATTTAATTATTTAATTAAAAATAAAATAAAAATAATATTTTTATTGATTTTTAAAATAACAGTTTATTTATAATACTTCATTTGAATGCTTCAATTATAAAAAAAAATTTAAAAATTCTTTAAAATTTACATAATTCTAACATGAATTGATTCGAATATCAAAGTAATTTAATAATATTATTTAATTATATTATATCATGTACTTGTTAATGTATAATGCAAACAGTTAATTAGTGTATTTCTTTGAAAAATAATTTTAATTTTACGCTTACTCCGAATATATATTTCCAGATGGCAGCAGGAGAGCACTAATCAGAATGCAGAAATATGTGCTTATGCCGTGCTGCATTCTGATTGGTGCATTATAGGTGCTCTGGTACCTAATAAAAGCGGTGCCAAGAGGCTGCACCGTCATTCTCATCATCGTTTCGAACGAGTAAGAACTGTGCGTAGAGAAACGGTTATCGAAAATGCCACCAAAGACTAGTGGAAAAGCAGTTAAAAAAGCTGGTAAAGCTCAAAAAAATATCAGTAAAGCTGATAAAAAAAAGAAACGCAGAAGGAAGGAAAGTTACGCTATTTACATTTATAAAGTTCTTAAACAAGTACATCCAGATACTGGTATTTCTAGTAAAGCTATGAGCATCATGAATAGTTTTGTGAATGATGTATTTGAACGCATTGCGGCTGAAGCATCTCGCTTGGCACATTATAACAAAAGATCAACGATTACTTCTCGAGAAATTCAAACTGCTGTACGTTTGCTTCTTCCTGGTGAGTTAGCCAAGCATGCTGTCAGTGAAGGAACTAAAGCCGTTACCAAATATACTAGCTCCAAATAAGCAAATGACCACACAACTGCCCTTTTTAGGGCGACAAAGATTTAATACATAGGAATCTCTCGTTCTCCACATTTTTTCTTTTTTAAGTAAATAATTATAGAATTTTACAATTCTATCTTGTAAATTTACTACATTCATAAAGAAATCTCAAACATCATGTCTTAAATAAAAAGAAAGAAATAAATGTTTATATAATATATTATTATAGAGTATAGATAAATATAATTTCTTTATGTATATGAAATTTATACTATATATATTAGATTATAAGTATTAGATTTAACATTAAAATAATATTTATTATAAATATATAACTATATTAATTGTGTACAAATTATTCCTAATATATAATTAACGACGTATAATTATAGCACTATTCATATTTTTAAGATTGAGTATTTTTGATATAAATTAAATATTTTTATTCAAAAATTAATTGAATAAAGTAAGAGATATGATAAATAATATTTCAATAAAATCTTATGAAAATTTCAAGTAAATACAAATTGTAATGAGAAATATTTTTTATTGTTACATAACTATAACACTATATATAATAATAAACGAAAATAAAAATAATATAATTAAAATATAGAAAGATTTTTTAATTATTTTTAATTTAATAATTAATTTTTAATTAATTTTAATTATTTTGTTTTATGATTTGTCAATTTTTGGAATATTGCATATATTTTGTTAAAATTATTGAATTTTTTAATTTCGAAATATTTTCGAATTAATGATTTTCATAAATCTATCTCATAGTTTTTAAATTCCCAGATATTTTCTATTAAATTCTCATCAAAGAAACAAGTTATTTACATTATATGAATAAGATAAATTTGATTAGTTTAAAAGCACGTCATATTTTACTAATGTATTATCTTATTGATACTATCATTATCATCAACTATTATCATTTTCTCGAAAAAAAATTGGCAATAATAATTGATTTTTAAAATTGTTATGTATTCTATACTCTCTTTTTCAAAGGAATGAAAATTTTAACATTTTATGACTACAGAAAGTAGTTATTATCACATTTTCATCAAAATTTTTTATGAAAAATATATGAAGATTTCGCTAATATGAATTGTAATCATCAAATCCATCCAGATTCAATATTTTCTCGTCTAAAAAATCAATTGAAAGATGCTAGGAAAGGAAATTTAAGTTATATCAAATTAATGAAAAGTTTAAATACTTAATAAAATTATATTCTTAGAGTAACATGATAAATGAATTATGATTGATTTTTAAATATTCTTATTTAAAAGTCTAAAACTTTTAAAAATGTGAGTGTTGCTATAGTTATGCACTGCATTATAGTAATTATGTTAACTTGAGATTACATTTGGCTAGTTATCAATCAAAATGTAATATAAATATAAGTTATTATATAATGTAAAAATAATGATATAAATTGAGCATTATGAGATTAATAGATTTGAGACATATATATTTCAAAATAATTTAATTAAAATGACTATAGAAATTCATGTATGTATATGGTTTTCTATACTTTTTATTATTCATATAATGTAAAAATGATTTATGATTAACAATATTTCATTTATAAAAAACAATACAAATATTAAATATTTTTTTAATAACTTACAGTAAACGATTAAAAGAGAAATTGTAATATAAATATAATAAAAATCTTTATTGTAATACATATAATTATATATAATTTATAAAATAAGTTTATTTTATTATTTCATTATATGTATATATATTTTTTAGTTAAGATTTCAAATTTACATGACTATATTTTTATTTCGATAATAGAAACATAATTATACTATTGATTAATTTTACAACCTATATTATAATAATATTACAATATAAAAAAATCTAAAATGTTTTTGAACAATTCTTTTTGAACATAAGATAAATACTTGATATGATATATTTAGAAACTCCAAGATTAATAATAAAAATAAAAATATTGAGTGTCATTTCTTCAAATTTTTTTAAAAAATATTAATAAAATTGACGATAATTTACAAAATATAACATTATGATATCATACTATTTTAAAAAAAATTTAAAAAAAAATGCAAAATGATCAATGATTTACAGTAAAATAAAATTTAAATTTTTGTAATTAAAATTAATGATTTATAATATATTATATATATTATAATATATATTAAGAAAAAATTTTCGTAACTAAAATAATTCTTAAATATTTATATTATTCTTAAATAAATATTTTTTTATATTTTGTATAATATAATAATAATATATAATGCTTATAAATAAATTTGTTGAAAATTCATTTACATATTAATTTTAAGTACCAAAATAAACTACTATGCACAATTTCTTAAAATTATTAAAAAACTAAAATTAATGTTTTTCAGATAGATTTAAGAACTTAAATTTCTGCACATATATACATATAGAGCCATTATATTAAAGATAGTCATTATCTAAATCTATTTTTTTTAAATCTTAATTTTTAATAATTGCAAATTATAAATTATAATTTATATTAATATGATAATTGTAAAAAATTACAAATATGGTTATATATGACGACTTAATACATATTTTAATAAAAGATTGTAAACATTGTAGTTAATGAAAAATTTTTATTATTTAAAATTTAAAAATTTTCTATATGATACATATGATATTTTAAATTATATAAATGTTTTTATTACTTGCCATTTTTATTTAAGATTTATAAATTCTACTGGTTATATTAAAAATTATTTATGAAAAATTCATTTTTGTTATATATTTATAACATTTTTATGATATTTAAAAATGTATTTATTAAGTTTAGTCACTCATCTTCGTATAGTTATAATTTCATTTTAAATTTTAATGTCAAAAAATTAATATTAAATAGTCTACAAATAGTTTTCTCAAAATGTAATCTATGAGAAAATTCCGCTACTTCGCTTTTTTTTTTAATAGAATAATATTAATCGCAAATAATTTAATTAGATTCTTTATTATTATGTACAAAAATAAATAATGTATAAAATTGTTTAAATTACCTTAAAGTCATTCCTCATTAAATATAAATTTGTGGCCCTGAAAAGGGCCAGTTGAATTTTAAAATTCCTTGTTTAATAATTATTTCTTTGCAGTTGATTTGATTGCTTTGTTAGCTACCGATTTTTTGGGTTTAGGAGTTTTCGTTTTAGCTGCTGGTGCTTTGGTCGTCTTTTTGCTCTTTGACATAGTTTTAGATTCGTTTATAGATTTAACTTTTTCAGTTTTTTGAGCTGTTTTTACTCTGGATTTTTTCACATTTGTTGATTTTTTAGTACTTTCAGCTTTCTTTGGAGAGCTTAATTTTTTTGATGATACAGATTTTCGTAACGGCGAGGTCTTCTTTTCAACAGATTTTTTAACTTTTTTAGGTTTTGATACTTTAACAGTTCGATGAATCTTTTTTGAGTCAGAACCTTTAATGGAACCCTTAGTAGAAAGTTTAAATGATCCAGAAGCACCTTTACCTTTTGTTTGAACAACAGTGCCTGAAGTAACAGCTGTCTTTAAATATCTTTTAATAAAAGGTGCTAATTTCTCTCCATCAACTTTATACGTCAAAGAAATGTATTTTTTAATTGCTTGGAAAGACGATCCTTTTCGATCATTCAATTCTTTAATAGCAGCATTTACCATTTCAGAAGTCCGTGGATGTGAAGCTGATGACCGTTGTGATTTTGCAGATTTGGGCTTTCCTGCTTTCTTTGTTGGATTGGCATTTTCTATATTTTCTATTACAGTTTTAGCTTTTTCCTCCATTTTGAAATTGTTAGAAACAATCTTTTTTCTGAAATATCAATAAATAATTTCTATCTTTTAATATATTTCTATCTTTTAAAATAGAATTTGAATGCCATAATATAAATAAAAAAAAAACTCATTAATTAAGAATTTTTTAATTAATTTAGTTAATTTCAAGTGTGGATGCAACTGTATTACTACAAAATTTAAAAATCATAGAATAAGTTGAATCAATATATATTAAATAGGTCGATCGATTTTGTTTGATAAGAATATCCGATTTCGAATATATAATATAAATTTCAATATCAATTTCAATATATAACGATAGTATAATTGTGAACTCATATCGGTTAATAATTATGTAGAAAAAATCTTTAAAAATTCAGTATTTTGATACGAATAACAATAAGAATTGAATTTCAATACCTTACTATTGAGTAGTATTGCATCTTCAATAAAAATAAAGATAGCAGAGTGGAATTTGATCTTTTTAAGTAATTCTGTGAGATGAATCATATAATGATTTTTTGATTAATAATAATCAAATACAATAATTAAAAAAATATTATATATGATAATATTATATATTATATATATTATAATGATATTAAGTACTTAAAACTTTTAATGAGTTTCCCGAAGTAGAAAATAATCCTGAATCGAGAATGTAGATTACCTGTTTATTTATTGTAGATGCTGGAGGAAAGGATGACGATAGTGAAATATCTTATAGCAAATATCTATTACACAAAAATCATACTTATGATTAAAAATATTTCTGCAAATAATTTTTAATTCGCCAGTATTAGAGAAGATAATTGTATTACATATACTAATTATAGTATAACGTTAATATCACTTAGCTATTGTAAACTGGCAAAGAATATATGTTATGATTTTCTAAAATCGGTCACTTGTCACTGGAATATACTGATAACTAACAATGATGCCCTTACTTTAATCGTCAATTGATACGTACTAATAGATAATGTGCCAACCCCTAATGAACAGTCCATGTGATCTGGGAGCGCGGACCATGGAGAGAAACCTATTGAATATGTTGAGCGCTGAATTTCTCTAAAAACGGTGAAGCAGTGAACAATTTATCAAATTAAAGCATGATTATTCAATACAATGTATTAATTGAGAAATAAAAAGTATATAAATAAATAGTCATGTATATCTAATTTTATTCAATAGCTTTTACTTTTCATTAAATAATATTCACTTTCATGTATAACATGATTTTTCACCGAGTGTCTCTTCATGACATCCAAATAGTTTGTAAAAAAAACAATAATACTCGTTTAATTATTACAAAATTGGCTAACAAATTGATTAACAATCATTGTTAATGATTTTAGTAGAACTGACGAAACTAATTTTTTATGGAAATTCAATTAATAATTGTAAAATCCTTAGTTTACAATAGGCATTCTCGAAATACACATAGTTCTTTATAGAATAGAATAAATGACGAAGTCAATCTTAATATTTTATAATTCAATGATTTATGTTATAAAATTTATATAATTTTGTATGAATTATATATTAATGATTATATATTGATGAAAGAATATTGAAATAAATTAAAAGAAAAAAATAAATTAAGAAAAAATCGATTCAATTTGTTTCAAATGCAATGTATAGAAATCATAACCTTATTGTTCAATATAAAATAAGATATTTAATGTCAATTATATAATATTAAATTTAATTTTAATAACATTAGGATATAATTTAATGAAAAAAAGTATTAATTTAAATTTAATTAAATAATAAAATTAAAAAGAAAAAATAAATTTTGTTAAAATATATATAGATAATATAATTATAGTATATATAATTGCGATTAAAAAATTTCTATTTATATCATATAGAATAACATTAAATATTTATATATTTAGAATTTAAATATAATATTATTAAAAATTATTTTCAAAATATAATAATATATAACATATCATAATAATATCATGAAGATTTATGATGGCAGCTAAACTTCTATTGAATATAAAAAAAATAATTACATATTTTATTTAAAATAAATTTTCGAATTTTTTTTGTATGAATAATTCAACAATAAATATAATTTTTATAGATATATAAGTATATTATATAATATATAACTTAATAGTTTTATATAAAATATAGAAAATTATCGAGACATCTAATCAAATGATATAAAAACAAATATTTATCTATTTAAATTTTTTTTAACATTAATTGTTGTAATATACCTTTAAAGCAATATTATTTATTATTATAATAATATTATTATAATTATTATAATTATTATGATATTATCATGAATTAAATTACAATAATAATTTATACTTAATGTAATACATATGCAATATTAAAATTTATTCATGTTTTTATTTTTAGCTCTTAATGAGTGTAATATTGTTTTTTAGTAATAATACCTTATATATTAAAATTAAAAGAAAAAATTATTATATAATTAATCATTTACACAGATATATATATATTAATTTATATATTCAGAAATAAAAATACAAAAATATAATATATTCCGTTCACATAGAGTGCGCCAGTAGTAAGAAATTTTAACATTTTAATAACTTCTATCCAATAGATAGAAAAAAAATTTTACAGAATTTATCCTTAAAAAAATTTGTCAATTGTTAAGAACTTTAAAAATAAATTTAAGTTTATATTTAATAATAAAAGCTAATAATTCTTAAGAAATTTTTATATTTAATTTAGTTTATTATTTTTAATATATGTTTGTAAAAAAATTATATTTTATTTATAATTTAATACAATAATTTGTTTAAATACAGAAATATTTAAATTTTAAAATTTACACTTAATTATTTAAAAAAAAATAATAAAATTAAAATTAAATCTAATTTCTTTCATTAATTTCTATAATTAAATCGTAATTTATTTGTTAAACTCTTAAGGTTATGTTTCATTTATATAGAAGTTACATTGAATTTTAAACAATAACAAAACAATTTGAATAATAATTATAATAATTTACAGTTTGACGAATTATATATATATATTTACAATTCTATATTTTATATAATATTTGAAAATTATTTAATTAACAAAAGGAAAAAGAATTGTAAATGAATTTGTTGTTTTTTTTTTCATTTATATAATTTAGTTTGAAGACAAATTTTAAGTGAATAAAAATTTGTAAGATATATAATATATTATCTTATTCTGTACAAGCGCGCGAAAATTTATGAGAACTGAGTGGTAATGGTAATAGTAGTGACAAAACGTTTTGTAGCGGTTGGTCTCTTTGGGTGGGGAAAATCAATAGGAAAACCAAGTTTAAATTATAAGTACAGATCATTAATATTTAATGAATCTTATATTAATATTTTTTTAATATTGTATTATATATGCGAATGTGTCTGTTTGTGAAATCTTTACAATGATGCTTTCAAAATGTAGCGTCTCGTGATGTATATGAAAATTTGATTGAATGTAGTGTGTACTCAGTTATCATTAACAGCTGTGTTCAATAAAAGGAAAATGTTTAGAAACTATTTAATTGATACTTCTTGACATCTAATTTGAAGAACGAAATATCAATTTACACTTAATAATGTTGATACTTCGGAAAATTTTCTTGACTTATTTCATATTGTGTACGTTATTACGAATCAATTATGTTAAAAGTACACATATTTCGGGTACTTTTAATACGAAAGAATTTTTTCGTTTTCTCATAAAATTCGGTTTTCAAAAGACTGATCGTCATCGACAAAAAGATTCATATGGATATATTTTTGGTAATGTAACATCGAAAAGCGATTTTACTATACCAATTACATTGGCAGTTTTGGATCGTGGTCATTTTTTAGAATACTATGGTAATCGTACATTAAAGGATAAAAATACTGCTTGTACTCTTATGTTCAATACCTTGAATCAAAGTTCTTATGACGTACATTGTAATGAAGAAGGACAAGATTTTTTGAGGTATATTAAATTAATATTTTACAAATTAAAAATAATAAACTTTAAGAACTTAATTTATTATTTAATTTCTATTTTCATAAAGGAGAGTACCTTGTCCAAGAAATAAACTATGTCCAGATGAAGATTCCATATGGAATATTGTAAAAGGATACCAATTCACATATGTCATACAAGATTTTTGGCAACCACGTTTTTGGTATATGAGTCTAGTAGCTTGTTATAGAAATACATCTACTTGTCAATGGGAATATTATGATAAACATGATGAATTAGAATATGATATTTGGCTAGTAAATGGAAATCCAAATACTAGTGGCCTAAATAGTTTAACATACCAATTTTCTTATGATAGACAAAATACCATAGAACTATATTTGTTGTTTTTTATGTGTTACATTATATTGGTGCCACTACAATTATATGCTGTAAGATTACAAAAACATCCTGTAACAAGATTATTCACTGCTAGTTTATTATTAGAGTTTATAGCAGTATGTTTGATTTTGATACATGTATTGAAATTTGCTCTTGATGGAGTTGGATATGAACAATTAGAAGTTGCTGGAGATATTTTTGACATTCTATCAAGAGTGAGTTTTAATAAATAATATCATTTCTTTATTCAATAAATTATATAATATATTTTACTTGATAATTATGATTTATATATATTTTTATATATTTTTAGACATCATTCATGTTACTTCTTCTTCTACTTGCTAAAGGATGGGCTGTAACTAGAATGGAATTGACATGGAAACCATTAGTTTTTACTATATGGCTTTGTTATGGAGTAGTTCATATTCTATTATATGTGTGGAATATGGTAAGTTTATTTATATTTTTTTTTCTATCAATAATTTCAATTAATTAAAAAAATAATATTTTTAGACTGAAGTTGATATTATTGAAGATATTGATGAATATCAAACATGGCCAGGCTGGTTTATACTTTTATTTCGCAGTGCAATAATGATTGGTTTTTATGTGAACTTAGGAATACTATGACATATGAACATAATACTCAGAAGTTAAATTTTCTACTTCATTTTGGTGCATCTTCATTAGTTTGGTTTATTTATTTACCTATTATAGCACTAATTGCTCTTCAAGTAAGCGCATTGTGGAGGTTTAAACTTCTATTGGGTGAGCATATCATAAAATTTAAAATATAGTATCTCATTCTTATCTATGCATTATTTTTGTAGGTATTACATATTCTGCTGATTGTTTTGCATATTGTGTAATGGCACATTTACTTTGGCCAACACGAAGTGAACAATATTTTTTACTTGCACAAGGAGCTGATAATGGAGATGAACTTGATGAATTTAATGAAGCACCACATGTACTAAATAATTATGTGGAACCTCCAGAACTTACTAAAATAATTACTTAATGTCAAAATATCAAAGGCAAAATTTTGCATATATAAAAAATCAAACATAAAGTTTGAAATATATTGTTTGCCAAATAAAAATTTTATAGGGTTGATAATACTCTGCTATGTATTACTTGAGACTGATATATTCTGCACACTGTATAATTAGAGATATATTAATAATCAAATTTACATTTGTGATAGGAAGTCAATAATTGACACAGGAATAAAATGGGCGAGTATGATATGAGTATGTTTAACTAATTTTTGATTTAAAAATATGAATGATTAAAAAAAATATAAACAATAATATAATTGGGTTGTAACAGTTTATAGATATAAATAGATATTATCTACTGTACAATTTTTATGTACATAATGATTAACTATTAGGTATTTAACATCTATGGGATTATTATGTTACATATAATGGTACTTATGTATACATAGATTTTATTCATATTTTTTACTATTTACAACTGAATATTGTAGTTTTCCATCATTTCAATTTTAGATTGCTCATGTCATACTCTTGAATTATAAAAATATAATATTATTATAATTTTTTAAATATTTTTTCCATCATTATTTATTTATTATGTGTAAAATTTAATATTTTTCAATCACATAATTGTAAAAAATTTTAATCTTATCTTTTATTCTTGATTCATATTCATGTTCACATTTGCTGAATAGAAATTATCTTAATGTATATTTTGAAAAAGTATAAAATTTAATAAATATAATTTTTTTTATGTTAATTTAAAAATATTTGTAGAAACGTATATATGATTCAGTGTATATAAATGAAATTGTGCATCAATATATTATATACAAAGTTCTTATGAAAGTATTCTATATATATTAATAATTTTTTCAGTGTTATATTACAGTAGAAATGCTGTAGTAAAATATGAACCAATGAAATTATATAAATATATCTTTTGTATATATTTTAATAACATTTTTTATCATCTCATAAATTTCTTTTTGAACTATTTGTATATTTTTTTGGTTTTTAAATAGATGGAATCATCAAAGATATAACATTTAAGAAAAAAATATTTTATAATGAAAAAAATTTTATTCTTTAATATTTATTTCTAGACAATTCCATAAATTTTTTGCTCAATCTTGTAATAAATCATCATTAAAATAGTAAAATATTTATCTAGTATATTATGAACTGTGTACTGCAAGTTTTGTATAATAATTTTAATAAAATAAAAAATATAACTTAGAATAGACAACAGTAAAAACTACAAGATTTTTAAATATATTCATTAAGAATACATTTAAAAGAAAATATTTAAAAAAAATGTAAATAAAATGTTTTTAAAAAAATTGTTTATTTATGACAATGCATTTTTATTTTACAAAGATAATTAGATTTTTTGATATTTACAGAATGTACAAATCTTTATGCTATTTTTGAAATATTGCTAAAAGTTTATAGATTAATGTATATAAATCAGCTTTGAAAATATTTAATATTCTTATATACTGGAAAAGTTTTAAAATAAAAGGCAAATGTGAAAATTGAATCGACTTAAGTCTGCATGCAAGATTTATTGTTATTATGAAGAAGATAACTAAAAATAACTAAATACATTAATAATATATTAATTCTATATATATGTTTTTCAATATATAAAATTTTTAACTGTTTAAAATTCTTTTATGAAAATTAAATAGCAAAATAATTTAATAAACAATAAAATATTAATTAAAATAAAATTTCAAATGGATTTTTGTAAATAATATTAATAATAATATTAATATATAAATCCCTTTATATATTAATTATTTATTTATATATTATTCACAAATAGTCCTTTTCATTTTATAAAATTTATTATTATTATTATTATTTTCTTTACTATTATTTTCTTCTACTTTCACAATAATTTTAAATTCAAAGTAAGGTTATCTATCAATTGTTTTGGACCTGGTCCAATTCCTAATGTAGATATTGTTCCAGGTTGCAATTGAGTTTTACCTGCATCTTTTATTATAGAAATAATTAAACCAGCTTTACGAGCATTTTTAGCTAATGATATTAATTCTTCTTCATTAGAAATTTTTAACACAATTTTAGATTGGCCTTGCAATAACCAAGATTTATACATTTGTTGATATTTTGTATTAAGTGATATTTGATGACAACATTCTACTGCTGCATGAGCACATTGAGCAGCAGTTTTCCCCTTTCCCATAAATATATCTGATCGGACAACTAATACCATTTTATATTGTTCATTCTTTGAATATATTATAGGATGAGTAAACATACATTTTATATAATGTATTATTGACATGTTTATTCATTTGAATAAGATTCTTCTCTTTTTCTTTGGTATTCATCCATACATACTTTGAATCTTTTCACTTGTTCTTGACACTTCCTCCAATCTTGAGTTTCTGCTATGCACTCCTGTAAATTTAATAAATAGAAAGTAGTATATAGTAAATAGAAAATAGTGATATTTTTATATATTTATATATTATTTATATTATTTTATTAATATATTTATTAATATATATTATATTTATACTATATTTACACATATATTTTCATACTTAAATATATAAAATTAATACTTGAACTTGATAATGAAATTCCATACAACCAGTTTTTTTTAACATCTCTTCTACGGGATCTTCAATATTTTGTTGTTGCGAATTTAACTTAGGAATCATCATATATTTATATTACATAAATGTAATATCAAATAGTTTAACATACAATAAAAATATTTATTAATTTTAAGGTTATTTTTCATGCATTTTCTATAATCCACGGTTTAATACAATACAGATAGGTATATGAATAGTAGAAATTAAAAATAATCAATTTTTAAAGTATTTAATATTGAATATTTCAATTGAAATTAAAAAAAATATAACTATAATTATTTTAAATAAATTTGTTTTTAATGTAAATATTTTATATAATAAATTAAATTGAAAGAAAATTTAAGTATTAAAAAAAAATATATTTAATTATATAATTATAAAATATTTTCAGCATCCATTATTATTTTTAAATATGAAATAATAATAATATTTAAAATTAAAAATTAAACAAGATAATAATTAAAAATTTTTAAGATTTATTTAAAGAAAATTCTAGTATCGAATAAGATATGTATCATGTAAGGCGCTAGCTTCGACATATGGCTGCTAGAGTCTTGTGTTCTCCACCAGACGACAATAAGTTATGGTATAGTAGAGTGGAAAATATGACAAGTACTATGTTTCACTAGTGCCGCCAATATTATATTCTTTGATTTTTATTTCATACTATTTTTGAATCAAACATACTTTATTGAAAAAATACAGATCGAAAAGATCGTGCACTTAAATACTGATTATAATTGTTTCTACACAGAGAAGTTAAGTATTCATCTGCCGGCCGTCAACTGCAACATTTTCGTAAGTATTTAATGTGTTTTTCTTATTTTATAATGTCTTAAACATTTTTTTTCTTACTAAAAATATGATTGCCAGTCAAGAAAAATTGCTCAATAAAGACGTTTCATTTATAATTCGTGTTTTTTTTCATCATTATAATTCGCAAGGTGATATAACATTCCCATAATTCCATAGCACGTGGGTGACGCACATTGAATACGAATATATCAAAACTAGATGTTACTATATTTATATTTCATTTGTCTTATGTATAAAGTCATATATAGAGATTTTTATTAAATATAAATTACTGACATAATTAAAGATATAGCTTATGAAATGTATTTAATATAAGAATTAATTTTATGGTTAAAAAAAGAATAAATATAATTTAGTTTTTTTTATTTTTAATATTATATTTTTAATTTAATATTAAATTTTGTTTGTAGAAAATTGAATCATTTACTGGAAAGTGAATTAATATCTTATATTGCGAATATGCTAACAAATAAACATTAAATAAATTCATATATATAAATGATGTAGACGAATAAAATCGCAAAAATTTTAATTTATACTTCATTATATTACTTTAATCAAATTATAATTACGAATAAATCTAATGTATAAAATAATATAAATATTTCTTTATTTCTTAAAAATAAGTATTTTCATATTAATTTCAAGTTAATTCATGTTTATTTTAATAAAATTTATTTAAAAAATATTATATAAATATTAGTGATGTAGAATTAAATAATAATTTTTACAATTTAATTTTAATTATAACATTTAATTATAAATTTTAAAAATAATTTGCTAATTTTATATTGCAAATAGAATTCTTTATATTTTTGCGCCAAGTAATATAGCGACTTCTAGAGGATTATAAAAGCTTTAGTTTTAATTTTGCCGCTAGATGGCTACTACGGTTTGGTATATTCTCGCAAGTGCTCGATCAGCTATGCAGTTTGTATATAAGAGAGAAACAATAAGAGTACTGTCGGATAGTCTGATGCTTCCCAGGTAAAAATCAGCGCATTATGCGGCCATTAATATAGACCACATCATGTGTCCGGTACTTCACGTACAGCCTTTTAAACCGTGTCGTCATCGAAAATTGTTTGTTTACTTTGTAAAACTAACTGTGGAAGTGAACTTGGGACTATCTTTTTTGTAACTTTTATTTTATTGATTGTCTTCTATTTTTTTTATATTATATATATTAATTATATTTTTTAATTTTTCATTGTATTTTTAAAAAAAATCCAAACTATTTTCTAAATATTAAATTTTATATTTTTTTAAATATATTTTTTTGAGTTTAAGAAGAGTCTAAGAAATTTTCATATAAATTTTTGTTCAATAATAAGAAAGTAAAACTTTGTTCGCAAAATTATTTTTCAATATATCTTATGATGTATTTGTAATTATATATAATTTATTATATATTATATATATATAT